ATCTCCCCTCACATTGGTTCTCAGACATATATTTTTGTTATTAGAGAATGGACACAATCCTTTGGCTGCTGGTTCAGAGTCTATTCTGCTTTGGGCAGACACATGGGGCTCTATTAGGTGTTGGCACAGAGCCAGTGCAGTAACTGGGCCTTAAATAAACCATTTCATATTGTACCAGGTCACCTCCTTCTGAGTGGTGGAGTACACAGAGCTTTCCCAGTATTATTTAGTAAGTAATTATAATTATCTCACTGACTTGTAAGGTCATTTCCCCCAAAGACCAAGTTCTCAAATGCACATACATTAATTTCTGAGCTCTCCTTTCTGTTGCTATACTACTTATTTCTTCCTGCACCAATAGCATGCTCTTTGTTATTACTAAAGCACAGTTTTACTGGGAAGAGTCAGTGCCTATGTTACTTGCCATTTACAAAATTGTTTTGTGTTTTCATGTAAATCTTGGAAATCTGATTGTCAGGGTAATTTCAAAATGCATGCAGGGATTTGGGTTGGAATTATATTGGCTTTATAGTTAACTTGAATAAAACTTACAACTCTATATTATTTTGTCATTCTGGTAAAATACATTCATAACATAACACACCGTTTGATGATAGAACTTAGCTAGATTTGATATATTTACTAAAATTTTAGGTTTTTGCCAAACATCTTCATGTTCTTAATTAGAGTTTCTGGAAAATAAATTTGTAATTCAGCCCTCTTTTGATTCTTAGAAACTTCTAAAGTTGAGTGTCATTGGACAAATTCATCAATCTTCTGATTTAAAATTTAGTAAAAATTTTCCACTTGGTCTGCTGCATTACAGTCTTAATTGTGGTGGGCTCTCCTTCAGAATCCATCACAGATGGACTCAACTTTCAAAGCATACATGGGCTAATTATGGTCATGGCTTCAACTCCCCAGGCTCCTCAACTGAGGCCACCTTTGAGAAACTGATGACATTATTTTTTCCAAAATAAACTTGACTTCTAATTAACCTCAAGACAACGCCTCCAAGGCAGTAGATCCAGCCTCAGGAGGCAAGTGATTACAGTGCATGCTTCTAATAACCATAGCCCATGTTGGTCATCAGAACTTCTAAAGATGGAGATTTATCTGGAGAACTGGGGAATCCTGATGGATAGATGAGGCTCTGTTGACGCAGATGAGAGTTTCTATCTCAAGGCAGCTTCCCTCTCTTCTGCTGTTATTTCCTCAGGCTCTGCTCTGTGGCTCTGACGCTACTTGTCAGGAGACCCCAAAAACTGAATAGCTGTTTCTCTCTAAATTGGAAGGGAGAAAGCAATGTAAGTACTTACTGAGCAGTGGGAACATTGACCTAGTTTGGGGTTCTGTGGGGCCTGGACTTGAATGATGAGTAGTGTTTGAGAAAGCCTCTCTTTGTGTCCCCCATGGAGATCAGTGATGACATTACTGGTAAGCGGCAGAGTTAAAAAGGAGAATCAAAGGCTACCTTTCACTGTAGGTACTAAGAGTGACTGAGAATGACCTTTATAATTCTCAGAATTTGGCTGGGGTTATGGTGGCTCATGCCTGTAATCCCAACACTTTGCCCAACACTTTCGGAGGCCGAGGCAGGTGAATCACCTGAGGTCAGAAGTTTGAGACCAGCCTGGCCAACACGGTGAAATGTTGTTTCTACTAAAAATACAAAAATTAGACTGGCATGGTTATGGGCATCTGTAAACCCAGCTGCTCAAGAGGTTGAGGCAGGAGAATCACTTTAACCCCAGAGATGAAGGTTGCAGTGAGCCAAGACTGTGCCATTGCACTCTACCCTGGGCAACAAGAGCGAAGCTCCATCTGAAAAAAAAATATCTGAATTGTTCTCGCTGATCATATTGGGTTATTCTCACTCCTAGCTGGATTTCATTTTCTTCCTTCCTTCCCTCCCTCCCTGCCTCTCTCCCTCCCTCCCTCCCTCCCTTCCTTTTCTACTCTTTTTCATTCATTGGTGAACTCACGGATTAAATGAAACAGATACTCCTCTCTCTTCTCTCACTTTTCAACTTCTCTTTCTGCTGTGTATTCCTGGATGTATGCTTTTAGCTATAATTGAATTCTAGTATTTAAACTCCATTTTAATATGGCAACCTGGAGAAATTAAAGATTTTTATTTGTATCTAAGAAGTTAAAAATTCTACTCCTTTACTATCTGAAGCTGCCTACATAATTTCTCCCAGTTAATTGATTGATGTTTTCCTTAAAATAAATATTTGTATTTCTTAAAAGTTTTACATGTGAAAACTCTGTATATTGCTTTCTTCTGGGGGGAACCCAGCAACCTCAAATATTATGTCTCTATTTAAACCCAGATTACATAAAATCCCAGTGGAACATCTGAGGAATTAGAAAAATTAAACACTGAAGTACCATCTCCAAGGATCATAGCCTGAATTCTACTCATAGGTTCTAAAATATCACAATTAAGGGGATTTTGAGATCATCTAACTAGAGTCTTTGATCCTCTGAGCAGGAAAGGCTCCTAGGGGTCATAGTACTTGCCTACTATCTTAGTCAAAATTCCTTTGTAAAATGTTCAGGGATCCTCTGCTTTAGTGCCTTCCATGTATCTCAGCAGTTTATTCCATTATTGTTTATGCTATCTCTTTAATTAAAAAAATCTAAATATGGAATTTAGGTACCTCATCTAAAGTCACACAAAACTAGACCTGAAACCTAAATCTTTTCACATCATACTGAAGATCTTTCATCTTCATTTTATAGCTTGAAGGTATCTGTCAGTATGAGAATTTTTATTTTCCTGGTCTTATGTCTTTCTATCAGTACAGATGACAACACACGGTGGTGGTCCCTAATGGCCTCTTAAGCAGATAGAAGCTGCCTTCTCAGATGCACCATGGAGCTGAATCCATAAATCATAAAAACACAATTATATCACTCACACGATTCATCTAGGCTGTGGATTTATATTAATACTATGTAAAAATCCACTGGACTAGAATCAGATGGCCTCATGTGCCTGAGCAAAAAATAATCTAAACAATTCTCTTTGGTATTGGTTAGATACAGGTAGTCCTTCAGAATCAGATAATTCTAGCTTCCGTGGTCTACATTCTACATCATATTCAGTTGAGTGAGGGCCTAGTGGTGGTTAGAGGTTGATTAGTTGAAAGAAGATTCAAATCAAAGTCTTTTGGAAAAGTGATGAGGAAACGCAAAACAATGACCATAAGTTTAGATTTCCTCACTGTTTTGAAAATACAGGAATTCATCTTCTGAGAAGGTGGTATTATATAGGGAAACTTTTACCCTTCTGTATATAAAAACATAACTAATACACACACACACTCATACATACAAATATAAATGGAGGTATATATTGTATTTACTTTTTCTATGTTTATATATAGTAGTGATATCTTTATAGTTAGACTAACATTATATAAGTAATTATGTCAACTAAGTTTAGAAAGAGTTTCTAATAAGAAAGAAAAAACATCATTTCCAAATTCTATGAATTTATTCTATCTATGAATAGATATAATGAATTTCAGGAATGCCTGCTGAATTAACTTAGGGTTCAGAAAACAAAAAAAGTTGCTCTTGACTAGAAAAATGCAGAAGTAACAACAACAAAATTCTGGTAGTAGATGGCAATAATTTCCCAACACAAAATGATATAGTAGCTTCAGAAGTATATAAATGAAGGCTGGATACCAAAAATACATACTGGGTGATTTTCTATCCAGATAGCACCTTCTTTACTTATTTGGATGGGTTATTGAAAAATGTTCCCATGAAAAAATTAGGACTAAGATGACTTTAGAAATAATTTGTTATAGCAGTTTGCAAAGTATTTTTAGTGGCAGAATGTTCAAATGAAATCTTATTAACATAACAATATATAAAAGATACAAAGCCTAAGGTTTACAGCAGGGTAGGGAAAACTGGCCAAATTCCCAAGTGTGCCATTCTTGCCCACACCCTGTGGCAAGCTCTGTTATTTCTGCAAAACTCTTCTTTTTCTCTGAGTTTCTCCATGTATCTCAGCATAGAAAAGTGAAGTGTGTTGGCAAATGCCACAAAGTCAATCATCTCTCTTTAATACCCTAGTGATTGTTCTCTTCCTGAAAAAAGAATTTTTTTCTTTATGCTAATGTACTGTTATTTATTTATTTAGTTTTTGAGACAGATTGTCACTCTGTTACCCAGTCTGGAGCGCAGTGACGCAATCTTAGCTCACTGCAACCTCCGCCTCCCGGACACAAGTAATTCTAATGTCTCAGCCTCCCGAGTAGCTGGGATTATAGGCATGTGCTGCCGTACCTGGCTAATTTTTGCATTTTTAGTAAAGATGAGGGTTTGCTATGTTGCCCAGGCTGGTCTCAAACCCCTGGCCTCAAGCAATCCATTCACCTTGGATTCCCAAAGTGCTGGGATTACAGCTGTGAGCCACCGCTTCTGGTTAATGTTATTTTTTGTTTCATTCTTGACTCAATGTTTCAACTTGCGGAACTTCCAATAGTATTTCTTTTCCTTCTCTTGGAGATATAAAAAAATTCCCAATAAATGCATGTGTCCTCACACCTTTACTTCAAGATCATCAAATACTTTCTCTCCTTTCTCATTTTATGGTTGGATAAACTGATATCCACATGATTATGTCTTAACATTATTCATTCTTTCATTCTATATTCTGATCAGCTTCAGGTAGCTGAAGTTAACATTTTTCACTTTGGAAGGTGAGTTGCCTTGGGTTTACAGTGAACGAGAAAAACAATAATCTACATATTATATAAGAAAGAAAAGAAGGAAAACTATTAGCAAATTTCCTAACTCTTAGACAGAGAGGTAACCTGTTCTTCACATTAGAAAAGGCCTCCAAACTGGTTGTCAGTTATTCTTTTGCCTATTTCACCCAATTCTTCTTTTGCAGGCATTTTAATGAGGGAATGAAGAATCCCACCAAATATCTGGAAATGCCTGCCACCTGCAAACTTGGTGTGAAATTTCCCGTACATTTTTGCTCTCCTTTCTGGATCCTGGCTTCTACCTCTGTCCCTGATTCTCTTGCATAGAAGTACTTTCCATGGAGCAGGTCAATGAGACTGTGGTGAGAGAGTTCATCTTCCTCGGCTTCTCATCCCTGGCCAGGCTGCAGCAGTTGCTCTTTGTTACCTTCCTGCTCCTCTACCTGTTCACTCTGGGCACCAATGCAATCATCCTTTCCACCATTGTGCTGTACAGAGCCCTTCACACCCCCATGTACTTCTTCCTTGCCATCCTCTCCTGCTCTGAGACTTGCTACACCTTCGTCATTGTACCCAAGATGCTGGTTGACCTGCTGGCCCAGAAGAAGACCATTTCTTTTGTGGGCTGTGCCATCCAAATGTTTTCCTTCCTCTTCCTTGGCTGTTCTCACTCCTTCCTGCTGGCAGCCATGGGCTATGATCGCTACATGGCTATCTGTAACCCACTACGCTACACAGTGCTCATGGGACATGGGGTGTGTATGGGACTAGTGGCTGCTGCCTGTGCCTGTGGCTTCACTGTCTCCCTGGTCACCACCTCCCTGGTATTTCGTCTGCCCTTCCACTCCTCAAATCAGCTCCATCACTTCTTCTGTGACATCTCCCCTGTCCTTAAACTGGCATCTCAGCACTCTGGCCTCAGTCAGCTGGTCATATTTATGCTTGGTGTATTTGTCTTGGTTATTCCTCTGCTACTTATTCTAGTCTCCTATGTCCGCATCATCTCTGCGATTCTGAAAATCCCTTCTTCCGTTGGGAGATACAAGACCTTCTCCACCTGTGCCTCTCATCTTATTGTTGTAACTGTTCACTACGGTTGTGCCTCTTTCATCTACTTAAGGCCCAAGACCAATTACTCTTTAGGCCAAGACACCCTAATATCTGTATCATATACCATCCTTACCCCATTGTTCAATCCAGTGATTTATAGTCTGAGAAATAAGGAATTCAAATCAGCCCTACGAAGGACAATTGGCCAAACTTTATATTCTCTTAACTAAAGAGCCATTTTTTTAAAACTACTAATGCCTAGTACATGCCAGGGAAAATGTGTGCTTTTATACATTTTCTCATTTAATTGTCCAACTGTGCTGTAATGTAAGAACATTTCACATATGAGAAGAATGAGGCTCACAGAAGTTAAGACAGTCTGTCTTTCCACTGTCCATGATACTTTAACAAGACTAATCAGATATGGGAACAGAGCCCTCAGTTCCATAATAAATTTAATTATATTTTACTGCTTTAAAGATTGCAAATTCAAAAACTAATATGAGAGCAAAGATGCATCCAAACTTATGAGAGCTATGTCTTGAAGTAGACAGCTTGGATACATCAAGACAGCAAAGATGTATCCAAAAAAAGGAAAAGACCAGGAAATCCATCTATCCTTACTTTCCTTTTTCTAAAGACTCGAGATAACTTTGTTTCCACACATTCTGCTAGAAAACTTGGTGGGCCTTTTTGTCCCCGACTCATTTCCTTAACCTACATGTTGAAATATCTTTGCCTTTACTTGGAGTTGTTTTGTTCTTTCTTTCTTTGAGGTGGAACCACTTCATGGTTCTCTTGATGCAAATGCATGTCCTTCACATACTAGTTTGTCTTAGTCCCCACATTTATTCCTGAACCACCATATTAATTTGCTCTCTTCAAGGAAGCTACAAGCATTGCCTACTTGCTGAAATATCTCAAGTTAATTCCAAGCAAAAGGCTTGAGTTAATGTTACTAGAGGGCTAGAGTCCTAGAATGATCAAAGAACCCATGAAAAACCCTCCAGTGACTCCCCTTGCCACACAAGATAATGCCAAGAATCCTTCATTATCACAGATCTATCATCTAGTTTCTGCCTATCTCTCCAGTATTATCGTTTCTAATTTTGTCTGTTTTCTATATGCCTTCTTGTACGTTCTGAAGCTAATCAACTATTTGCTTGTTTCAAAAGTGACAATATTCTGTGTTCTCATGTGTTGGCTATTCTCTTTAGCTCATCTCCTTTACTTAATTTAATACTTGCTCTCATATTTCAAGAGCATCCCAGCTATCTTGCTTTCCTCTAAGCGCTCCCTTGTCTGCCTGCTGCACCCAACTGATGAGATTAGGCTCTGCCACAACGAGGACTTATTTTTATTGTATCTTGTATAATTTCAACAAATATTTATTCATTTCCTAATATGTACTAGCTACTGTTTTAAAGCTACTGGAAATAAATGATGAACAAAATAAATGTGGTCTCTGCCCTTATAGACCTTATTGTCTGGTTCAAGACAGTCCCAGTAAACAGAAAAATGAAGGAAAATACTTTACCAGTTTAAGTTTATTCTCTGAAGAAAAGGTGCATTCAGGGGATAGAGGAGAGAATACTAAGATAAACCAAATTTAGATTGAATCGTGTAGGGTTGGTTTCCCAGAGAAACTGACACTTACCTTGTATGTAACCTGAAAGGTAAGTAAAAGTCATCAAGTAAAGGGGATTATTTTGGGAGATGCTTTTAGACAGAAGAAGCAATGTGTGCAAAACCCCTGAAGCAAGAACTGGGTGAGCTGAAGACAAGCAAAGAAGCCCTGTATAAATGCTTTTTATAAAATGGTTCTTAATTGAGAAATAAAAATTATATATATTTATGATGTATAGCATGATATTTTGATATACATAGGTATTGTAGAATGACTAAATAAAGTTAATTAACACATACCTTTAGCTCATGTACTTATTTGTTTGTGGTGAGAACACTTACAATCTACCGTTAGCCATTTTCAAGAACATAATACATTATTATTAACTATAGTCACCATTATATGCAATAGAGATTTTAAAATTATTTCTCCTAATTGAAATTTTGTACTCTTTGACAAACAACTTCAAAACTCTCCCCTAAACCCCTCACCTGATTTCAGCCTCCGGTAACCACCATTCTACTCTCTGCTTTTATGAGTTTGACTTTTTTAGATTCCACATATGTGTGAGGTCATGCGGTGTTTGTCTTTCTGTGCCTGGTTTATTTCACTTAGCATAATATCATCCAGGTTCATCCATGTTATTGCAAATAACAGTACTTCTTTCTTTATATAGCTGAATCATATTTAATTATGTATATATGCCACATTTTCTTATATTAGGTTGATGCAAAAGCAATTATGTAATTATGTTTTTCTAGATAACTTGTTTCAATGGCAAAAACTGCAATAACTTTTGCACCAACCTAATACGTTTGTCCATTAGACACTTAGGTTGATTCCACACCTCGACTATTGTAAATAATGCTACATAAACAATAGGAGTGCAGATATCCCTTTGACATTCTTATTTTATACATCAAGTATATCAAAATTATAAGAACACATGGTAGTTCTATTTTCAGTTTTTTGAGGAACCCTCTTACTGATTTCCATATTGGTTGTATTAATTTACAACTGCCAACAGTGTATAGGGTTCCCCTTTCTCCAAAACCTCCCTAACACTTTTTTATTTTTGTCTTTTTGATAATAGCCTTTCTAACAGGTGTGAGGCAATACCTCATTATGGTTTTAATTTGCATTTTCTGATGAATAGTGGGGTGGAGCATTTTTTCATGTACCTGCTGTACTTTTATATATCTTGAGAGATATCTATTCAGATTCTTTGTTCATTTATAATTGGGTTATTATTTTTCTATTGAGTTTTTAAAGTTCTTTACATATTATGAATGTTAACCCCTTACCAGATACATGATTTGCAAATATTTTCTCTCTTTCCATAGGCTCTTTGTTCTTTTGATTGTCACGTTTTCTGGGAAGAAGTTCTTTGGTTTGATATAATCCCATTTGTCTATTTTTGTTTCTGTTGCCTGAGATTTTGGGGCATAAATGCTTTTTCTGCTTTCTCTCTGCAATGAATTTGAATTTACTGACAGCGTGGGTTTATGTATCAGATACAGCTTTGTTGATCCAGTTCCTTGTATGGTGCCTGGCATAACAGAAATATCTGTTTTATGAATGGCCATGACAGTCCTGCAATTTTATGTCCCCCCTAGTCTTGCTCTGCCACCTTCCCGACTTATCTTGGTGAATATTAACTCCATCCATCCTAGCAACCAAACCAAGCATATGGAAGTCTCCTTCACCACTTTTTTTTTTTTAAATAGTCATACCACCCATTGTGTCTTATAGATTCCACTGGCTAAAAGGTCCTCAATCACATTTTTTCCCCTATTTTTACAGGATCATCCTGTCTTCTCTGGATTACTGCAAAAACTTCAAGTACTGTGGTCCCCAATCCATTCTTCACACTGCTGCCAGGGAAGTCTTAGGGTTGTTATGATTGTTAAATTAGAAAATATGTGTCAACACTTAAAACAGTTGTCTGGCATATACTGAGAACTATTTTAATGTTGATTTTTATTATCATTGTCATCACCATCATTCTAAAATAAAGATCTAATTAAATAACGTCCCATATTATAAAACTTTCAATAGTTCCTGACAGATTTGAAGGTACATGTTAAGTATTTGTTAAAAATTCTACCCCAAAACCAGCTCCTAGATTGACTGATTTTTTGAAGGGATCTTTTTGTGTCTCTATCTTCTTCAGTTCTGCTCTGATCTTAGTTATTTCTTGCCTTCTGCTAGCTTTTGAATTTGTTTGATCTTGCTCCTCTAGTTCTTTTAACTGTGACATTAGGGTGTTGATTTTTATATCTTTCCTGGCTTCTCTGTTGGCATTGAGTGTTATAAATTTCCCTCTAGACACTGCTTTAAATATGTCCCAGAGATTCTGGCACATTGTGTCTTCGTTCTCACTGGTTCCGAAGAGCACCTTTATTTCTGCCTTCATTTCATTATTTAACTAGTAGTCATTTAGGAGCAGGTTGTTTACTTTCCATGCAGTTGTGCAGTTTTGCATGAATTTCTTAATCCTGAGTTCTAATTTGATTGCACTGTGATCTGAGAGGCTGTTTGTTATGATTTCCATTCTTTTGCATTTGATGAGGAGTGTTTTACTTCCAATTACATCATCAATTTTAAAGTAAGTGCGATGTGGTGCTGAGAAGAACGTATATACGGTAGTTTTGGGGTGATTTCTGTAGATGTCTATTAGGTCTGCTTGGTCCAGATCTGAGTACAAGTCCTGGATATCCTTGTTAATTTTCTGTCTCGTTAATCTGTCTAGTATTGACAGTATGCAACCAACAAACATATGAAAAAAAGCTCATCATCACTAGTCATTTGAAAAATGCAAATCAAAACCACATCGAGATACCATCTCACGCCAGTTAGAATGGCGATCATTAAAAAAATCAGGAGACAACAGATGCTGGAGAGGATGTGGAGAAACAGGAACGCTTTTACACTGTTGGTTGGAGTGTAAATTAGTTCAACCATTGTGGAAGACAGAGTGGCAATTCCTCCAGGATCTAGAAATAGAAATTCCATTTGACCCAGCAATACCATTACTGGGTATATACCCAAAGGATTATAAATTATTCTATTATAAAGACACATGCACACATATGTTTATTGCAGCACTGATCACAATAGTGAAGACTTGGAATTAACCCAAATCCTCATCAATAATAGACTGGATTAAGAAAATGTGGCACATATACACCATAGAATACTATTCAGCCATATAAAAGGATGAGTTTATGTCCTTTGCAGGGGCATGGATGAAACTGGAAACCATCATTCTCAGCAAACTGATACAAGAATAGAAAACCAAACACCACATGTTCTCACTCATGTGAGTTGAACAATGAGAACACATGGACACAGGGAGGGGAACATCACACACTGAGGCCTGAGGGGTGGGGGGCTAGGGGAGGAATAGCAGGGGTTGAGGGGATAGGGGAGGGATAGCATTAGGAGAAATGCCTAATGTAGATGACGGAATGATGGATGCAGCAAACCACCACGATTGCACAAGTATACCTATGTAACGATCCTGCATGCTCTGCACAGGCACCCCAGAACTTAAAGTATAATAATAATAGAAGAAGACCAAAAAGTAGGTCTACCATTTGATTCAGCCATTACACTAAAAAATAAAATTCTACCAAACTACTTCTTTTTCCAATAAAACACACTGTTTCATGCCTCTTTACTTTTACATGTATTTTCACAAAATTTATTATTTTGTATTACCTGTCTACCTACTACTCAGATTTCAAGACGTCACTCAAGC